TATTCTAATTTTTTGTCGTGTATTTTTTTTTTTATATAAGTAATCCAAATTGAATTTTATTTTTTTTCTTTTCAATCCTGAAATACTTTTGAGTTAAAAAAAATAACATTTCATGAAATTATAATTTACATTTAATCATTGTCCTTGAAATTCATGATATTTTATATTCTTCTTTAAATTTTCTTTTCACCAAAACATAGCACTTATCTTGGACTGGTTTCATTGGAAAATCTTAAATCTCAGGTGACAGTTAAGAAAATAGCTAATTAGGGAAAAAAAACAGAAAAAAAGAAACGAATAAACAAAAAGGATGTAAACCGATTGAAAGTCATGGTTGGTCTATGCTACTACCTCCTGTCCTAATTATAAAAGCCAGTTGACTAATTTAAGAAGATTAAAGAAGTAGGTTGAATTAGTTATTTGTTCTAAATAGATATTGTCTTTCAGAAAATATCCTCCCTGTTAATCAAGTGTATTAACTAGAACTATCATTATTAGAAGGGCTACTTTGGAAAAAAAATGTATAAATATGCTAGACAAAGTGGATTGGGGTCTTATATTTAGGATCAAAATAAAAGTCAAACAAGGTCTTATATTAAGGATTGGAAGTAATAGATTGGTATTGATTTAGCAAGAAACCAACGAAAATTAATTGCTTTCCATTTTAATTTGCAGCATTGGCAATGATTGACATTTGCACTCCAATTTTCCATATATCATTTATATATTTCAATAAACAAATAAAATAACGTAAAATTTAATTAATCATCATAAATTAATTAGTATATGATGTATTAGAAAGTGGGCTGGTTTGCATTTCCCACCAAAATTGGCAAGTCACAATGGCATCTATCTCCCACGATTGATTGGACTTCCAACCTTATATAGCAAACTCTATTCACATCTTTTATATATGTGAGGAAGTGACATTCTCATCACGAGTCTGATAATACCATATCCCCTTGCCGTTTCTGCTTTAATTATTGATTCCCCTCAACTTTTCTTCATATAATGTAAAGGAACATGTTACATATTTCTAAATTATTCTTATTATTTTCTCATATATATATATATATATATATATATATTAAAACTTGTGCTTCTGTTATTAATCTTGTCTCCAATTTTTCCCTAGTGAGGTTGAGATTATTTAATGATTGTGGTTTTTGATCAAAAGTCAGTTAGGACCAAGAAAAGATTGTTGGATGAGAGTAAACAATGTTTAATACTACCTTCGATCCTTAATATAATACTCTATTTGATTTTTATTTTGATCCTAAATGTAAGACCCTAATCCACTTTGTCTCTCATATTTATATTTTTTTTTTCAAAATAGTCTTTCTAACAATGATAATATCAGTCAATACACTTGATTAATAAGAATATTTTAGGAAAGGCAACACCTATTTAGGACAAATAACTAACTTAACTTACTTTCTTAATCTCCTCAAATTAGTCAACTGGCTCTTATAATTAGAACCAGAGGTAGTATGACTTTAGAAGTGGTTGACTTTTTGCCTAAAAAACCAATTTAAAGTTAAAACAATTTTTTTGGCTTTTTTTTTCTCAATAAAGTTTTTGAGATTGACTTTTCAGTTATCATCTAAACAAGTTTTTTCTTTTGGTCAATTTGACTTTTTTTTGTAAAAAGTATTATCTTCTGTCCCAAAGACAAGATATAATTTGTAATATAATTTACACTACAAACTAGATTTTATATTTAGGAATGGAAGAAATATTTAGTACCAGAGGTAACATGTCAAAACATAAAGCATATTATACTAATTGATTTTTATCCTAATTTGAATTTGTAAAATTTAGTTGAGGTAAAAATCATGTTAGTACGCGTTAATCCAACCAAGGCTTATTGAATTCTCAGTCATCAGAAGCTCTTCTTTCGCCGCCAAGGATACATTCTATTTCCAAAGTCGGCTAATTAAATCAATACTTTTCAATTTCATATTTTGCTCAGTCAAATACGTTTCTTATGTGGGGCATTCATTTCGAATATATATATATATATATATATATATATAAAGAACTATAATGATTTATTGATTAAGTTTTCCCCCCCCCCCCATAACCTGGAAAGAAAATTAAATGCTGCTTTAAATCATTTGAGTCTAATATCATGATGAATCTGGAGCTCAGATGACTTTTCTCTTGTAATAAGTTTCCCTCAACAAAATTAAATAAAGAATAAATAAATAAATATTTACATAAGCAAATATGCAATTATTAATTAGTTGGAAGAGGATGCTTCCCACTTTTCTAGAGCGTTTGATTGTTATTTTGTTTTTACCGTGTTTGGTAGCCGTCTGGGGCAGAGTAGTGATGGGCCAATCAACACGAAATGTCTTCATAGAATAATCAGCTCTTTATGCAGCATGTGCAAGAAAATTGGAACATCCTCATAGATTATCCAGGCGATGTTTAATTTCTAGTTTTCTTGAAAACCCATTGTTTAAGTAGTGAATGAGACAAGGACATTTTTTAAAATGAGTCACAAATATTTCATTAAATTTTAGATAGGGTCTCATATATAGTGGTATTAATTACTGATGGACGGGATCTTATTATTAAGATAAGGAATAATATGTAAAGATCTTTGTAAATCTTGATTCCCTCGAATTTTTTATTATAAAACAATAGATAAAATTGTTAGTTGACCTCGTGTCGCTGCCAAAACGTTTCCATTAATTATTAGCCCAAGAGAGTTTTAACACCTTCAATATCTAGAACAGAATTATTCTACGTTAACAGCTACTCTTCATTCTATAGCACTTGTCTAGATATCACAGGAAACCTCCCTCCTTATTGTCAACCATAAAACCTGTTAAATAACGCTGCTCCAGCCATAAATGTTAGGCTCATTTTTAATGTAATTTATTATAAAATGAGTATTATATTTAGAATCTAAGAAAGGACTCCATTTTGATCCTAAACAGGAGTCCAGTCCATTTTATCTGACAAATTTATAATTCTCTCTCAAACCATACCTATTGATTGAACATGTTAAAAGAGAGTTTTCACATGAATGTAGTTTTTTATGAATTAGTAAAAAGATATCTTGGGACAACCAACATAAATTTTTTTATAAATAACTAACTTAATTATCATAAATTAGTTATTTAAATCTTATGCTATCTCTGATTCTTAATATAAGTATTCGTTTGACTTTTATTTAGTCCTAAATATAAGATTCTAACCCACTTTATCTCTCATAATTTTTTTTTAAAAAAAATAATCTTTGTAATAATGATAGTTTAAGCCAATACACCTTATTAGCAATGATATTTTAAGAAAAATAATATTTATTTATTATAAATAACTAATATAATTATTTTTTAAATCTATTTAAATTAGCTAACTAATTTTTATATTAAGAATTAGAGAGAGGTAATTTGTAAGGTGTAAGATCAATGGGCCCAGTTCAGAAGTGTATGGTCAAACTTAGGCATTTCTACGAGCTAGCAGATAGCATATTGTGCAGTAAACTGCCACCAAACCCATCACTCAACAAATTCCGTGGGCATTATATATGAAGCCTCAATTCCAAAATCTCTTCCTTATATAAACTCTTTATACCATACAGAATCTCACCTTCCCTCTTTCATTTCTCTTTCTCTTCAATCACAGAGCAACTTGTTCTCATCATCAGCTATGTCTATAGCTACAAAACCAGGGGTTGGGTCTAATGAAGAAGAAACTGAGCTCAGAAGAGGACCTTGGACTCTGGAAGAAGACAGTTTACTCATACACTGTATCGCTCTTCACGGTGAAGGTCGTTGGAACATGTTGGCCAAAAGTGCAGGTACGTACGTAACAACAATCTTTGATCTTTAACATCAGAAAGAAATAATAACAATAATAAGTTCATCTTCTCTGTTTTTCTCCTTTGGAAATTCCTCATGTGGAAATATAGTGATGAATGATTAATGATTTCGCCAGGATTGAAAAGAACAGGAAAGAGTTGCAGACTGAGGTGGCTCAACTACTTGAAACCAGACATCAAGAGAGGGAATCTGACTCCACAAGAGCAACTTTTGATTCTTGAACTCCATTCCAAATGGGGAAACCGGTAATGGATGATTCAGAAAGTGATCATCAAGAGCAAAATTTTCTGTTGTTGGTGAATAACTAGAATATGGTTTTTATGGCATAGGTGGTCGAAAATTGCTCAGCGTCTGCCCGGAAGAACAGACAATGAGATCAAGAATTACTGGAGGACAAGAGTTCAGAAACAGGCACGCCAGCTCAACATTGAGTCCGGTAGTGAGAGATTCATCGATGCTGTTCGATGTTTCTGGATGCCTAGGTTGTTACAAAAGATGGAACAAAACTCTTCATCATCTTCCTCTTCCTCTGTCATGAACATGAACTCTCAGAATTCTGCAATTAATGTCCCTTCCCTGTCTCCTTCACTAGGAGAATTCACAGATATTGCAGCAAATCACACAAGAACCCACACCACCACCACCACCTACAACAACAATTTTGATTTCCCAGATCATTATTCCCTGCCATTACAAGAACCGTTTGAAATATCAGAAAACCCGACAAGTACTGCCCTTCCTCAAGTGTCTGAGAACTACAACAATGATGTTTGCTTCAATCCAGTTCAAGATCATAGTTATGGCATGGAAGGGCTAAATTTGGAGCCATTTTCAAGAACTGAAAGTAATTATGGGATTCCCAAGTTTGATTATTGTCAGAGTTCAGAAAGTGAATGGATGGGAGAATATTCTCTGTGGAACTTGGATGAAATGTGACAGTGAAGAACCGAAAAGAGAAGGGAAAAGCGTCTCAAGTTGTTTTATCTTGGGATGCCTTCAAGGAAAAGAAAACAAAGACTCTTTTATTGAATATAATTACGGTCAGAGAGACCTAATTGGCTCCTTGATGAGCTTACTTGTCTACTTGATATATAGATTATGCTACTATAGGTTTTAAGGGTAATTAATTTATGTTATGAGATATGTTCAGTTTAGCAATCTAAGTATGATTAGTAGATAATGAGTGCCTTTTTAATCTGTTCAGGAGTATTATAGTTAAAAGTTATTGTAATTGGATAGATGTTGTGATGTTAATTGAGAGTACACTTTGTAGATGGGCTCTTTTTCACTTTTATTTGATCTTATCAAAAACTTTAATGATCCCTGACATGATATGTAAACTGATATTTTCATTTTTGTTGAATTAAGACTCTTATAATCATTTGGTGGCCAAAAAGACAAAAGAAAATACTCCAATTTACTAATGTGTGATATTGCCTCTGTTACATTTTCATTCTGAATATATAATATTAAATATAAAAATTTGATAGTAGAAATAATAGGCGATGACATAAAAATAACGATCAGTAATTGACAGGTTTAGATATCTACTCCTTCAGTCTTAATATAAGACCTATTTAACTAATTTGATTGGAATAAGAAAATTAAGTAAGTTAGTTAATTATAAGAAATGTAACATGTTTTTCCTAAAACACCATAATCATCTTTCTTAATACCCCATCTCCCTCTTCTACTTGATTATGGTTGAGGGAATATCTATAAGGGTAATTTAGAGAAAATTGATAAATATGAGAAATGGGTCTTATATTTAGGATCAAAACCAACCAAACAATTGAGTCCTATATTAAGAACCGGAGTAGTAATAAATAAGAATACATTGGAAGAGAATTAATTGGTATTTTGCATGATTTAAACATTTTATGCGAGAAAATATTAAAATAAAAAGAAAATGCAGTCATATTCTGTTGTGATTCAGTGAAGGCTCTTATTAAGTCTTAACCTCATTTCTAAAGAACATTCTAGGTAATAATCTCATAAACACTATAACAGTATCATCATGACAAACTGGTCAACCACCTGCCAAAAGTGCCCATCATAAATATGGAGATTTCTTAGTTTTCAACATTCATATATGCTTTTTGGCCAAAAAAAACATTCATATATGCTTGCAACATTTATGTAAAGAGCATAGTGCTTGGATGGTCTGTATACCAAAATAAGAGTCTACAGAGCACTTGAAGAACACAAAAACCAAATCCGAAGATAACAAAATAGTGGGAATAAAACAAATAAAATAAAGTATATATTGAAACAAAACCCCAGATACTTACTTCATATATCAAAGCCTATAATTCGAAGAGCACATCCCCTTAACCGCTGCAAAAGCAATCGAGTCTGCAGGTCGATCGGTTTTGACTTAAATACCTGCTTAGTGATTGATCAAGATCAACAAGTTATCCAGAATATTAGTTAAGCAATCTCATTCCAATTCTGACTTATACTCACACACATATGTTTAAAAACTAGTAAATACTCTTTAATATAAGAGCTAGTTTGACATACAAGTTGATCCTAATCATAAGACTCCAATTCATTTTATCTCTCATATTTATCAATCTTTTGCCAAAATAGTCCTTATAGTAGTTACACATGTTAAAAGTTTCATTAAATGATAGTTTTAACTAATACACATTATTAGTAAGGGTATTTTAGGAAAAATAATACCTATTTATTACAGATAACTAACTTAAACTACTCAAATTAGTTAACGAATTTTTATATTAATGATGTGAGGTAGTATATACCAATCTGTGTTAAGTGGAGAGAAGCAATATCCAGTTAAGGAAGGAGGTGGGTTTAATTAAAGAGGAAGGAAAAGGAAGGTGATATTGAACATGACAATGGAAAGGCCTTCACCACCCTATTTTACCAGGGAAGGAAGAAGGAGTCAAAGAGCGCCAAAAAGAATTGGTCCACGCATGTGAAGTGAACAGTTACTCATATTTCATTTCGCTACTGTAGATTTTCAGTCTCCTCCTTTGATCTTTATGATTCCCAACGTTTATTGAGGGGTCAATTCAATAGCACTTACAACTGTCCTTGTCGCTCTCCAGTTCCGTATTGAACACGATCACGCTTCAGTATAGAATTATATGTTAACTGAAAAAATAAAAATACTTATATAAACCTAGTGTTCTGAAGATATTTTCTTCTTCTAAACACTGTAGTTAAACCTTTAGCTATTTTTTAAGGCCTTGATCTTTGCGAAGATAAGAAAAAATGTTTCAAAGTTAATGTTGGTTGTGATTTGATTTAGGCTTCTAGTTTCATTCAAAATAAAAACCATTGATGTTTTGGCTCTGTCAGAAAGTAGCTAGAATTGAATAATCACTTTTGATCACCAAGCATATCATGATTCCAAATGACCCACTTCTTCATTGCTGAGATTTTTCCCTTTTACTTGTTATGTTGTCAATACATATTGTTTGACTAATATAATTAACGGAAGGAGAAATATATACACACATATATATGAAGCGACTTTTCCACACATTTTAATTCTGTGGAGGAATATGCAACAGTAACAGTAATTAAAATCTAATCAACTTTATATGGAAGTCATGTCCTGAGTTTAATAATAGAGAATTAAGTGGAAGCTTGGCTTTAACACAAAAGGTATACAGTAGATTGATTCACCAATGATATAGGCGAGCTAGTTCATCCATTTGTGAATGAAAATTGATTGATGAGATCAGAAAATGATGAGACAGCTTTTGATGAAGAATATGATGAGTTTGAATTATGGGGCAGCCAAAGACCTAGGAACAGTGAAATGCTGTGAAATCAAAAATCATTACGATCAGCTTTTTGCATAATTAGCGGCTGAACGGCACAAGTGTACAATTACATTGCAGCAAGTAAAAGCAATTGAAGAAAAAAATATATATGAACACATATAAAGCCCCGCGCATGGCCATGACTCTGACTAAACACATCACCACACAATAACCATTCATTATTCATATATGTGTCTTGATTTGACACGACTACTACCCTATATTTCTATGGAGTAACCCTATTATAATAAGTGACTGCTTTAAAGTGATGGTCGTTTTGTGAACTTCAATAATACAACACACACTTCCTTCCCAATCATTGAGCATACTTCTTTTATATCCCCCACCCAAGGCGTACTATTTCTGTCTTTTTCCAAGTCTTGATAACTGTCACTGCGCCTTACATAACTTCCTCCACATAAAATCCCATCATCCATTTCTATTGATCAAATCAATATGTTTTTTATCTCCCTTAATTTGTTTTTCATATGATTATCTGATTAAGTCAGATTTAAGTATTGTTAGGTCTAATTAGAAATTGCTCTCTTAAAGACATATTTTTGTATTTATACAGATTCAAATTCGAAACATCTTGTTTAAGTGGCTAAAACCCTTTCTTCTAAAACCAATCTCATTAAGTGACGTATATTCCTATCGGTATAAATATTATCTTCACACGACCATAAATGTGTACGCATATACATGTGGTTGAGTGCATAAGCAATGTCAAATATTTAAACATCACAGATATATATGGGAGACTTGGTTTAGTCTTCTTCTTTCTCAGCTCGTCACTTTACACCGTACAATAATTGAAGTCAATTCAGATCCACCTTATACGTCGCACATCAATAATGGATGCTCTTGAAATCATGACATACATGAGGGCTAAGCTCTAGAGAATCGCCATAGGATTGAAGATTCTCATTGAACTGATCTTCCAAGCAAGTAGCAGAAAAAGGCAGTGCTGCTTTCCCAAAATGTGCTAATCTTTCAGCCCCTTTACAGCTCTACAGCAGAATATAGTCAGAATATATGAGATTATCGTTATATATATATATATTTATAGTTGTGTCAGTGAAACGAACCACCTTAGTCTGTTCGGTTCAGATTGTTCATTCTCTACGGGGGAAAAAGTAGCAGAACGAACCTCAGCATGTGGCAAACTATCCCTGTGAATCCGGAACCTTTAAGGCTACATAGATTAGACTGGCACGTACGTAAACACAGAGAAAAATGATTCCAGGATTTTCGAAACCATTATCCATCTACAGAATATAAATTGATGTGTCGAGGTCTAACAATAATTTGAAAATTCGTAAATAAAATTCTATGTTAAGAAACATTCTTTAACTCTTTTCCCACTCTAATCATGGCTAGATCATTATTAGTTGGGATAATTAATATATAAGTCCTTATAGTTTCAACTGGTTTTTAATCAGGTCCCTATAATTTTTTTTCTTTTTATCAAGTCCTTATACTTTCATATATTTTTAATCAAGTCCTTATAATTTTTTTCCTTTTTATCAAGTCTTTATTGTTTTACTTTGTTTTTAATTAGGTCCTTGTAGCTTTTATTCTTTATTTGACAAATAATAACATTTTAAAAATAATAAATTATTGTAACAATCTTATGTTAATATTCTTTTAAATTTTTAGTTAAACAAATATATTATTTATTTTCAATTCGAATTTTTATAATTATAAAATTCAAATTATAATAATAAATTTTTCTAAAATTAAAATATGATTATAAATCATTTATATTTAAGTATAATTATTATTCTGATTATTTATTAATTACTAAATGATTATATTAATTATTTTGTCCAATTATATAATTATTAATTTAAAAATGAAATTAATTTTAAAGAATAAAGTTAATAAATAATTTTTCAAAAACTACAAAGCACCTAATTAAAAAATAAGCAAAACTATAAGGATCTGATAAAAAGAAAAAAAATAGAAGGACCTAATTAAAAACACACGAAAGTAAAAGGATCTGATAAAAAGAAAAATTTTTATAAGGACCCAATTAAAAATTAGATGAAACTATAAGGACCTGGAGATTAATTATCCCTTATTAGTTAGTTGTCTAAAACAGTAAAACTACGGTTTAATCGTGGTAATTAGAATAGTAATTTAAAGCACAACTATTGAAATTAATTGTC